TTACTGTTTGAGATTCTGATGGGTTAGAAAGGTTTAATGTGGACTTTAGAGTTTCTAGTCCTTCATCATGTGGAATATTAGTGCAAAGAAGACTGTTGGGTGGTAACTGTCCCTTAGTATTAATATCTTTTATTATATTAAGAAAATAAGTAGTATCCTTTATGTAAGAAGGGAGAGTACAGGGAATACATTTTATGTGTTGGTCAACAAGATTGACAGCTTTTCAGAATAAGATCATTTGAGAGTTTTTTTGTAGAAATTAGTGTCCTCTAATTGCCAGTTGGCTTCTGTGATATGGTGATCTTTTTTAAGAATAACAATAACTCCACACCTTGTCAGCTGGCTTTATTATGATATTGTTGTTTGATTTAATCATGATGTTAGAAATACACATAGGTTCAAGAAGTCTTGATAGAAATTAATAAAAAGCCTATAACCCGAGCACTTTCGAAAAGTGCTTGGGTCTTCGTTAGGAACAAACCGGGAATGTTTGATTTAAGATTGTTTAGAGCAGTTCTTTCATTTTGGTCAATATTATTATGACATTTCTTGGAAGATTTTAAGGTCTGTATTATGTCATTTACTACTGCCTTAATATAACTCTCTAAATATGGTTCTCTGTATGATGGAGGTGTCCATAAAAACTTTTCTTTGAAGTTTGGTGTATGTTGATTTTCAGTTGGGTGGGGTTTATTGTGAAAGAATTTGTGAAGTCTTAGTTTTCTAGAGAATTTGTGCAGGTCAGAAAGAAGATCGGGCTCATTAACATAGCTGTTACTTGGGCAGAAGTTGAGACATTTACTAAGGAGACTGAGTTCTGCTTCAGAGAAAGAGAGAGAGTTATATCTGAAAGATTAACAATGTTAGAGGTATGTGGGGAGTGTTAATTGTTACCTGTACAATTTATGAGGTCACTGTTATTTTCAAAAGATTGGTTTGTTTGAAAAGGCTTATGTATATTAGAGGATGAAGGGTTTTTAAACATTTTTTAGGCTGTTTATTGTGAGTTAAAGGGATTTTCATAGTTTCTGGTAGATTACTTGATGCTATGGTAGTTTATTTATGATAAAGAAGAGGATTCAAAAGAATACTGTTAGAAGTGCTTTTTGAATTGGTGTTATTGGTAGGAAGCTGATTTTTTAAATTTTTTAGAAGTAATGTATCAGTTCTCTTTGTAAATTTTTGTAGTTCTTTTTATTCCATTGAAGGATTGTACAGGTGATAATTGTGGGAAATTCCATTATCTAGAATATCAACAGAATTTTGACAAAGTTTTAATGATATTCATGAGTTCTTATGAGGTGTTTTCAACGATCTGTTGTCATTTGTTGCAGAAATTCTGATCATGTGCTCTTATTATGATTGGTACTTTTAATACGAGAGATTGAGGTATGTTTGGTTTTTTTTATGTTATGCATTAGCAACTTGGCATGTTGACAATGTCTTGTATGTTTCTCAGTGAGTTTTCTAAGTTTTTCTGCTGTTGTTGAGTGATTCACCACTTGATTCACATTGTGTGTTAACAGATATTAAAGTGAGGACATCATTGTAACCATGAGATAGAGGGTGGGGAAGATTAAGGGAAGTAAGAGGGGGTAGCTGTCTTCATCTTCAGAGTGTGTATTACACAGTGACGAAGTATAAACAGTGCATTGCTTTTCATTGTGAGAGTTGGTGCTAAGATGAAGGACTATTGTGTTCTAATGAAGGTAATTATACAAGAGACTGTTTGACTGGTGAAGATTGTACTGTGGCACATGCAATGTTTACACTAATATTGATTTGGGGAAATTTTGAAGATAGAGAGCGGAAGGGTTTGTGAGTAAACAAGAACGAACAACAGAAGCATAAGAAGAACAAATGTTGCTATTTGTTCAATGTGATGTTTTGGGGAAGTGTGATTTGTGTTTCTTCCCCTAGCAGAATCTAAAGAAGAATTTGGAGAATCACTGTGAGAGAGTGAATGTGTTTTTAGTTGAGTGATAGAGATATTATTGTGTGAGACATTGGTAGCTTCTGAAATAGGGAGAAATGGAGAATTTTGACAGGGAAGGGTAGAAGAACTATCAGAAGTAGAAATAGAAGATGATTGGGGTAACTTCAAAGAGAAAGACGTGTGGGAGAATGCTACGGGAAATATTGTACTTGAAGTTTGAGGCCAGGGTAAAAATACCAGAAAAGCTAAGATGCAGTCCATCTTGTGGTTAGTGAATGGTATTAGGTTTGTGTGGTTAGTGAATGGTATTAGGTTTGTGTGGTTAGTGAATGGTATTAGGTTTGTGTGGTTAGTGAATGGTATTCGGTTTGTGTGGTTAGTGAATGGTATTAGGTTTGTGTGGTTAGTGAATGGTATTAGGTTTGTGTGGTTAGTGAATGGTATTAGGTTTGTGTGGTTAGTGAATGGTATTAGGTTTGTGTGGTTAGTGAATGGGAAGTTGTAGGTTAAGTCTGCAGAGGTGTTTGGTCAATTTCTTAAAATGTTTAATTTTATTGTTGAGTTGTGTAATTATTGTGCTGTTTTGTGTGTTGCAATCAGAGGAAGCATGTCTGTTCACATGTCTGTAGATTACACTAGAGATAGCCAGTTTAATGTGTGGTCTTAGGCTGAAGATATGTGCTATTGTGTTTTCAAATTCTGAGAAACAATCTTTGGCAGTCTTATCCGATTGTTTCAGGTCGTTAGTACTAAAGTGAATTATCAGAAATCGGACAGATTCTGAAATTTTGGCATTGTATATTTTTGATCTACTGGTAGATTTTGAAAAAACTGTCCATTAATAAAAGTTAAGTGTTCTTGTCAGTACTTGAGCATTGAATCACCTAAAATGCCTATGTTAGGAAATAAAAGAGTGTACTTACCTAAATTGGGTTCATTTTCCTTACATGGTGTCAGAAAAATACGTAATTTCAAGAAGTCTTGATACAAGATGATAAAAAACCTATAACCCTAGTGCTTTCAAGACACTTACAACAGCACATGGAAAAAGATACTAAACATTTCCTGGAAAACCAGATGACCTACATGACATCACTCATTCAATTACACCACCATTTCCAGTTTGCTCCTGAAGAAGAAAGGTCCACCTTTCAAAAGCTCTCGGGTTATAGGGTTTTTAATCATCTGATATAGATTAATGGTCTTGATAAGGGAATGGTTAACAAATTGATCAAGTTTTCTGATTATATTAAGGTTGTGGGTGTAGTTGGCTGGAGTATGATGCTGTTGTTTTTTAAAGGATCTGAATTATTGGTGAATTGGGCAAATATATGGCAGATGACATTTACTTATGTTAAATGCAAGGTAATACATGTGGCTACCTTAATTTATACTATAATCACTTTCATGGAAATAAATTCAATAGTGTTATGGAAGAAAAGGACCTTGGTATTTTGATCAGTCAGTCTCATAAGTTTTCCTGGCAGTATGTTGTTGCTAATGTGAAAACAAATAAAATTTGGGTTGTATGTACAGTTGAAGGATGTTGTTGTTTATTTGTATAGATTTCTATGTAGGCCTCATTTAGAGTATTATGTTCAGTTGTGGGCTTCTTACTTTAAAAAGGTTGTTGAGTAGTTGGTAAGAGCTCAAGGATGATTCTGGAATACAATGGCTGTCATATGATGACAGGTTAAAGTCTAAAGTATTTTCTCTTGAAAAAAGAAGTTAGAGGGAATCTGATTGAAGTGCTCAGTATCATAAAGAAAATAGGATTGATGCATAGTTTTTTGGTTAATGCTGAAAAGTGAAAGAAATAGTGTAGAAATCAATAAAAATGTAAGAGATAACAGGCATAAGTTTTATGCTAATGCTGTCAGTGTAACATACAGTGTTAGTGTATATGTACATACTTTTGTTTCTTTGTAGTTTGAGTTGTATAACTTTACAATGCATCAGTGTTTGTACTTAGGTAATTAACATATGAATAAAGAAGACTTAGTCATTTTAAATAATGGAATTTGATGCACACTTTTTTGTTTTCAGAATTTCACAAATGGAGTTAAGACAACAGATTGATAGCCTTGCAGAAGGTAAGAAATGAGTTGGTTTTTGGTTAGGTCCTATGGCAATAAACTTCAATTATGTGTATTTCTGTTAATGTTTGTCTTTTTGTAAAGCAGATATACAGCCTTATACTATTCAATTAGTAAGTGTAATCATAGTCTTAATTGTTTTATGGTAACAAACAAATAATTTTACTAGTGCTTTATAGAAATTACTGTAGTTTCATTGTAAATGAACCAAAAGCCAAGCAGTTTTAACAGAAAGTTTGGTAATCTGTCATAGCCTATCATTTTACAAGATGAAAATAAAGAGTCATCAAAAAATAAAATCTTTAAGTTTGTTACTGCAATAAACTCGCACATGAACATACACAGAGGTTTGAGTATGTTATATTAAAATTATTTTTAGTATGCAGATCAGCAAGTTACATTACCACCACATACAATATGAAGTCATGATGGATGTGGTGTATTTCAGAACTACATTTTGGCATTTTTTGGAAAGATGTATACATATCAGAATATCAAATTTTCAAGATGAAGGTATCCTTTATATTTAAAGGTTGTTGAGTTATTAGATTGTGTCTATGGCTCAACTTGGGGTATCAGACCACTCAGATAGAAGTTTGAAACAAGTTTTACCAAAGTTGTGATAAGTGAAGCGCAGTGTCTTATAATGGGTGAGAATGCAAAAACAGAGGTCAGTATTACAAGCTGACCATGTGTTACAGGCAATAATACCCAACATAATCAAGAAACATCTCCATCTTGAAATGAGGCCAACAGGATACTGTTTCATTAAGATGAGGCTTCAGGTTGTACCTCCTGTGTAACCATCATATACATCAGGCAGCTGGAGGATGAAATGAGTATTCATGCTATTCCCTAGAAAATCTATCATAGTCAAGTCACTGGATGCAATACCTGTAGATTTCTGTAAAATTGGATTGTTAGAAGATGCACTTAGAACTGTCGTTCACACAACTAAATGGATTATGGAAAGTATTCAGGGAGGAGGAGTGTGTTTCAGACACAACAGCTTTATGACAGACCCTTTTACAAAGGACATTTTTTAAAGGGCTGGCCAATATCAAAATGCATAGTCATTAATACAGCAGAACTGGGCATGGCAAGATGGATTGTAATGACGTGCTGAGGTGTCTCAGCTGTGATTTTTGACAAGTAAATAATGCTGAAGCTTAAGACCAAAATATAGAAAATTATAGTTCAGCCAGATCTGCTTTATGAAGCAGAAACTTGGACATAAGAAGAAAGTAGGAGAGTATTTTAGAAAGAACTGAGATGATAATGCTAAGATGAATGAGAGAAATAATAATGATTGATGACATTGGGAAAAGAGTTGGTGTCTGTAAGATGACAGAAAAAAATAAGAGACTGATATGGTTTGGATTTGGGTGAGAAATGAAGAAGGATGTGCATTTGAAATTCTAGTGTAGAGACAAAGAAATAGAGGAAGACATAGAGTACCATGGAGAGATGTGGTGGACAGAGATATGGCAGAGGTCGTTGTAACTATAAATAATGCACATAACCATAATCTGTGGAGAAGGAAGATCCAAGTGGATAACCCCATACCAGAATGGGATTAAGGTCATAAGAATGTGATAACCTATAATTGACTGAAATGTTTTGCAATATAGTTAGATCAAGTAGAATCAGTATAATTTGTATGTAATAGTTTATATTTTTCAAATACTGACAGACTTTATCAGTTACTTTTATATTGTTTACTTAAATTACATGTATGTGATTAATTCACCATATAGTGTAGTGTTTTTTTAATTATTATATGCCCCATAGTTATTTACTTTATAAAAGGTAATTTTATATGTAAAAATTAATTTTAAACTAACAGTTGTTAATCATTTATTATAAATCAATTTTAAATATATTCAAACTTCCCTTTGAATCATTAAAACACTACTGCTATCTTGTTGTTATGTTACTTTTTCTTTCTGTGATTTTTTTTCACACTACAGTTCCTGAATGGTTATTTACACCACACAAATAGGCCGATAATTCTAAACAAAAGAAAACAGCACTGACAGGAGTTTCAAAACATGAGTCACAAAATATATCTAAAACGCTTGGAAAAATATTATAGAGAATATCAATAGTTTAGAGAACAGGGAACAAACTGACAGAAAAAAACCAGAAACAAAGTTTTAATGCAATGTATGAATAACTTTGTTAAAGAACACGTCTGTTGCATGCACATGCAACAGACATTGAATATTGCAGACTGACTGAACTAACATCAAGTAATAAAGAATACCAAGCAATTCAGACAGTAATCTTACAGTGCATGAGGTAGAAGGGACTTTGGCAGGAGGGCATTTATAAAACTGTTTTTATATATAGACCTTGATATTAATAATGCTCGAACTCTAGATTTCAATATGAAGTATAAACTTTTACACTGTTTGAATTTACTGTTCTTTCTGGTTAGAGGACCCTGGCTGCATCTTATCTGTGTATTTGCTGTGAGGAAGAATTGAAGGATGTTAATATCGTGGGGAACAGTTTTTGAAGATATTGTCATCCTGACTACAGATGACTTCCTGATAATGCTCTCCTTTAATGTTTTATCTGACATTGTCATCCAGTATATTTCATGGAATTCATTACATGTTTACTTGACTCATCAATCCCCGAGTCATTTGTATGTCTCTATTATCAACTGTGGCAGGTTATTTCATTTTGTGTTCCTCTTTTAAGTTCTGACTTGGCTCCTCCTTTTTAGTCTGTGATTCAGTTTCCTGCATGAAGGGGTTAGTTTTTTCTGACTTACCTGTTTTTCCCCGTTTTCTTTTTTGCAGCTGTATTGATGAAGAAATGACTGCTGATGTCAGTTTATGATATATTATCTGGATTCATCTTTGGGATTATTCTGAGAGAGAAAATTAATGTATGATAAATGTTCTGACTAATTACTTGTGTTTTTGTGATTTGAAGTAGTCAGTAGCTTACAAACTAATCAGAACTGATGAATTTAAACCATTGCTTTCACATAATATATTTTCAAGAAGTTGAAGGATTACCAATATTTGCTCCGAAGTTGAATATTTATTGCCATGCACAGATTTAAAGGAACATTATTTTTTCTATTTTAGATTTGAGGCACATATCCGAGAATCAGCATGTACCGTATGACTTGGATATTTATGTTAAGAAATTGATGAATGCTAAAAGAAGAGTCATGCTTGTCAGTAATATACTACAAAATGCTCAGGTACAGAAAAAATTCTGTTAAATCTATACTATGTCTTTTAATACTTTGTATGTAGTGTCCCCAATTTTGGAGCTTTAACACATATAAATGTACAATATATGATGATTTAATGTAAATTGAATACTGTCCTTAAAATCAGCTGTAAAATAATCAGTACTCTCCTTAACCTTATGGTGAGTATAACAATAATAGTGAAATAAATACAGAAGTTATTTAAAAAACTGATTAACTCACAAGTTGGACATGCTTTTAATAAGAGCAGACATGTAAAGACTAAGAAAAATATTAAACTTGCTTCATATTATTATTCATTATGTTGAGGAAAAATGGTAATTTTAACTCGTATGATTTATATTCTAGGAAGACTTTTTTTTTCTGCAAAACTAAACTCTAAACCCAGTGAATTAAGAGAATCTTTTGTAGTTTTATGTACAGTCTTTCCATACAAGATGCCATAGTTCCTCACTTCTGGCATAGTGTCATTTTAGTTTTTTCAAAGGAACAGTTTCAGTAAGAAAACTTGTAACTTGTAGATTACTCCTATACGGACAACATTAATAATTTGTTTGTGCTTATAGGAAAGGCTAAATAGAGTTCACCACAACGTGGCTAAGGAAACCGCAAAACGTAAAGCTCTACTTGAGCCTAGCTCTGTGGCATCTTCCAGTGGAGCAGATTAAAGAAAAGTTTGATAGTAATATTTGAAGTAAAAATATTAAATTTATGGTGGTAATAATTTCCATTCCAAAGTGTAATTAGACAAGAGACACATCCATTCAGTGAAAATTTGCTATTAATATAAATAAAGCCAATTAATAATGGATGACCATATATCGGTCTGTCTTGAGTGATTTTGTACAGATTATGAAATACTGAATGTAAACTGTATGCATACAATTATCTTATTATGTAACTTCTTACACTGCTGCAGCATTATTGTGTACAATTAGGTTGTGTATGATGGTGACGTTTTTTCTGTTGTGTATGAAATGTTAACGAGTTATGTGGAAAAACTTTAACGTACTGCTTAATATGTTAAAAATATGTAGGAGAAATGGTATATCAGTTTTTTCACTTGACACTTGCAGTGATTTAATGAGACAATTCTGGTTTGTGTTCAAATGGCATTATAAAATATTTAAGAAAATTAAGAGAAATAAAAATAATGTAATGTGAGAAAGAATTATTAAGTCTTTGTATTATATATTTTAGCTGTTGTTTTTGTAGATGCAAAGTATATGCTGTGTACTCCAATACATCCATTAGCACATTGGTTATTTAAACTGTACTTTTGAAATTAGACAAAAGGATGCTTTTAGTGTTTTGGTTGTTATGTGTAATGTAGGCATTGTGCATTTGCAGATTTTGTCTAATAATATTGAAATACAAGAAAAATAACATGCCCTTAACTCAGTTCTACAATTAATGTAACTGTCAAATAACCAGATACCAATAATAAAGCATCAGCACAGTAATAATTGATCTTTTTTTTTTAAGCAAAATGTAATCACATGTTTTCAACATTCACCTAATTTTTAGGAAAAGGAAAAATATATTAACAATAGATTTATTTTCTGTAATCAATTAAGTAACAATTGTTTGTAATTGCAGTTGAGATCCCTTGTGTGAGTACTGGAAATATTAGTTGTCACCCAATTTTAATAGTAAATCTTGAATATGATTCATAAACACCTTTTGCTTGTGTATTTTATAAATGTATGTGTGTTTATATATTTGCATGCATATCATTTAATACAAAGTATTAGTAAGTTACAGATGTACATATAAATTAGCACAAGGATTAATTTAGTAAGAACCATTTTCCTCATGTATCTTAGTAAGAGTCTATAATTCTGTTATATATAATTCAATATATCAAAAAGATGACATACCTTACCAAAAATCCCCGTCACCGAATATGCTTGACCTTTTAGCCATGGGGGTGGTATAGTGTGGCAGTCACTGTGACTGTTCATTGGTAAAAGAGTAGCCCAAGACTAGCTGTGGGTGGTGTTGACCATCTGCCTTTCCTCTAACCTGTCAGTGCTAAATTAGAGATGGCTAATGCAGATAGCTGTTGTGTAGCTTTGCACAACATTCAAAACAAACAAACAAATTGACCACTAATGTGTTTGTTGTATCCCAGCTGGCCTGAAAAGCTATGAATTGAGCGAAACTCATTGTTGGCAGTGGATATGGCAAATATAGTGTGGTCAGAATGCTATTATTATACACATTATTAATTTTTGAAAAGCCCTTAGAGACTAGATAAAGAATGTAGTGTATAAAAATATAATAGATCTAATACTAATGTCTTATGACAAGTATAATTATAATCGTGCTTCACCAACTAGAATATTTGTGAACCAAAGGACCAAACATTTATTCCACAATATGTAAAAATGTCCTGGTATAGAAGAGGTAAATAAAATTTTGTTGTAAAACTAAGAGGAAATATTTGGCCCAAATGAACAAAAGGCCTATCAGATTCATGAGAGAAGAAAACTCTTTCTTTAGGTGGAAGGTTTTCTTCAATTCGTGTGGAATATTTTCAAGAGCTTGTTAAATTTGTTCCCATAGAAACAAAGGTGCATTACCAGTCAAATTAATTCAATCCTAAAGTGCTTTGTTTTTCACCTTAAATTGTGGACTCAGTTTTCTTAATCTGTTGAATAATTTCTTTTTGTTTCCAGTAATTGTAAAACACTTCCCCATTGACGAGTTAAACCATGGTTTTGCTAACACTGCAGTATTCTCATATTAATCAGCCAACTTCTTCCAGCTTTCACTGCAGTATTCCAGTGTTAACCAATCAACATCTACCAGCTTTCACTGCAGTATTCCAGTGTTAATCAACCAACATCTACTAGCTTTCATTGCAGTATTCCAGTGTTAATCAACCAACATCTACCAGACTTCACTACACTATTCCAGTGTTAATCAGCTAAAATCTACCAATAAGTTGAGGAAAAAAGCCATGAGGATATTTTGGTCAAGAAATTTCTATATATATATGAAGAAATTTGTTTTATTTTTTGTCACCCCTGCCACTTATATTGTTTTTTGCAAAGGCTGTTTTAGAACCTCCTAGAAATACTTTCCATAAGGCTGGTTTCCAGGTAGTCTGTGTTGAGTGTGGCTCTGTAGATAGTGTGCTGGACTGTGGATCATTGCTCCATATTTTAGGGCCGTAGGTGCATTATAAGGGTAATGATCCAATCTCACTATTTGGTCAGATAAGAGTAGTCCAAGAGTTGGTGGTGGATTCTTGTCTAGCTACCTTTCATCAGTCTGTCAGTGCAAAACTAGTGTATAACCCATCAAAAATGACA